TTTGTTTCATGGGTTGTTGTGGAGGGTGGCTGGGCTTCTGGCGTTTCTCTAGTTTGTGGAGTTTGTTGGTGTGTGTGTCTGTCTTATGTGAGGTCTCAGTTTCAGCTCTCCAGACGGCTAGTTGTTTGCATTTGTCCCGAGTGCAGGGTGGATTTTGTTACAGAGTTTGAGGTGAAGAGTGAGCATATCTTTGTTGGTTTGGTTTAGTAGGTACCTTTTCTTATGTAGTTCGTTTCTGATTAGGGATAGTTCAGTTCGTTTCAGGATCCTTTCGGTAGCTGGGGTTTTAGAGTGGAATTTAAGTTGGAAGCATGTGGGAATTAAGTTGTTGTCTCGGCAGTTGCGTAGGAACAAGAGATCACATAAGATGGTGGCTCTTCGGATTTCTAGTTTCTCGTAGGTTCTTGTCAGCTGGAAGGTTTCCTCCCCGTAGAGGTGAGATATTTGCTTTCGTAGATTTTCACGGGTACAGGAATGCAGGTTTTGGTGTCCTCGGGTGTCTTCCCGTGTAAAAGTTGGGGTGTCTAGGCGACGTTTCGACGAGGTCTCACTCGTCATCTTCAGGCTGGTGCTTTCGGCTTCTTGTTACTGGAACAGAGCAGGATCTCAGTGTTTGAGTTCCTATAAATACTGTTGAGGGGGTGTGGTGTATAGCCTCCAATGTTCTGGGCAGAGAGGAAGTTCCCAGGTTAGTGTGCCTTTTCTTCTTTTGTTCCTTAATTACTTGAGGGATATCTTGAGTGATTTCTTGAGTGATATCCTGAGTACCACTTAGGTGGGTCATTAGGTGTGGATTAGTTGCTAAAGCCTTCGTGTCTTGACCTCTTGAACTTTGTGAAGAGTTTTTCTGAGAAGATGGCTGTACTGCAATTAGTTGTGCTCTGGCTTGGCTTCGTGTATAGGGGCGAGCTGTGGTTTTGTGTCCTGTGCCAGCCAGATCTGTGTAGGGATTGCAGGGGGGTGCAGCATCCGGAGGTGCCACCATGGTTTGGCTACTGGATGGTGTCTGTAATTTATCTGTGGAGAGGGTCTGGGTTTGGGTCTGGTGTGGTTGATTGGTGATGGCGTTCTGTGTGCCTCTGGATCTGGTGTCGGTTTTTGTGGGGAGGGCTAATTTCCAGATGTCTGGCAGGCGGGATGTGTCGTCACGCTTGTTCATGTTGTGAGGGTGTTTCTCTATCTCGATGGCTTCCATGATTATTCTCTTGTGGTGATGTTCCATGTTAGAGAGCAATTTGGAATCTGCAAAATTAATTTCGTGTCCTGTTTCTTTCATGTGTTGGAAAAGAGAGGAAGTTTTTTCTTCTTTTTTGACGGCATTCTTGTGTTCTGCGATACGTGCATTTATTCGTCTGTTTGTTTGTCCAATGTACGTGGCTGGGCAGACTTTGCAGGGTATTTCATAGACCCCTTGGTTTTCCAACTGGATTTTATCCTTGGGTTTCTGAGGATATTGGCTATTTTTTGGTTGGTGCAAAAGGCTGTTTTGATATTGTGTTTATGGAGGATTTTGCTAATTTTATCTGTAGTGCCCTTGATATAAGGAAGGAGGGCCATGCCATTGTTTTCTTCTGTGTCTTGGTTTTTGGGGGTGTTTCTTTTGAATTAGCTTCGTAACCCTGTTTTGCTGGTATCCATTGGCGATTAACACATTGGAGAGATTCTGTAACTCAGTTGTCAGTGGTCTTTGTCAGCCAGGCGTTTGGTTCTGGAGATGAGAGTCTTGGCTACGGAGTTTATTTGTGCAGGGTGGTGGTGTGATTGTGCATGTAAGTAGCGGTTGTGTGTGTTTTTTTCCGGTAGATAGTGTGTCCTAGGGAGCCATCAGGTTTTTTTGTAGATTAGGACGTCAAGGAAGGGAAGTTGGTTGTTGGCTTCTATTTCCATAGTGAATTGTATTTTGGGGTGTAGGCTGTTGAGATGTGTGAGGAAGCTATCTAGTTTTTCCTTCCCGTGTGGCCAAATTACAAAGGTGTCGTCAACATATCTGAGCCAAAGTTTGGGTTTGTGTTCTGACTTGTCTAAAGCATTGGTTTCAAAGTGTTCCATGTACAGGTTTGCGATGACCGGTGAGAGTGGTGATCCCATAGGTGCTCCTTCTATCTGTTTGTATCTTTGTCCATTGTGGATGAAGTACGTGTTGGTTAGGCAGTGGTTGGTCAGGTCCAGGATGTATTCGGGGGATTGTATTTGTTTTGTAAAGTTGGGGGTCGTCTTATACACCCAGCCGTCTTATACGCCGGAAAATACGGTACTTTGTTTCCTGTGTCCCCTTCACAACAGGGGTAGGAAACCTTTTTCCAAGTGAGGGCCACATTCGCTCCTGGGGCAAGCTTCTGGGGTCCACATGCCACTGATGAGTCAGGCAAAAGTGGAAAGAGCAACAAATGTAAATTTCAGCTTTGTACAATGGGCTACTTTCTCCATAAACTCTCACATCCTTCTCTATCATCCATCCAGGGAAACAAGATACGTGATCCCTTGGGGGGAGGCAAACTGAGGCAGGGTGCGTGGGGTTGACGAGCAGAGCAAGTCCATGGGATTTCTGTAGATTTCTACACTTTGGATCATGATCTGGATTCAGACCCAGAGTGGGTTGGAATGGGTCCAATCCCAGTTTACAATTGGGATCGTGTGCGTGATCATGCACTGTCCTAGGCACAAATACCATATTTTTCGCTGTATAAGACGCACCAGACCACAAGACGCACCTAGTTTTTGGAGGAGGAAAACAAGAAAAAAAATATTCTGAATCTCAGAAGCCAGAACAGCAAGAGGGATTGCTGCTTTCACTGCCCAGCGATCCCTCTTGCTGTTCTGGCTTCTGAGATTCAGAATATTTTTTTTCTTGTTTTCCTCCTGGCTTCTGGGATAGCTGGCTTCTGGGATAGCTGTGCAGCCTGCATTCACTCCATAAGATGCACACACATTTCCCCTTACTTTTTAGGAGGGAAAAAGTGAGTCTTATAGAGCAAAAAATACAGGATATATAGATGCTCTGCACCCTAGATTTTGCAGATGAGATTCCATGCATTTAGAACTTGGACTCTGTGTGTGGAGGTTCTATTGTAAATGTGAAGTCAAACATGCAACCATGAGGGGGGAGCAGGTATGCTGCAGGATGGATGGGGGGGTATCTTAGCCCCCCCTGGTGGGGCGCAGAAGAATCTCTCCAGATCTTTGTTTGTTTGTTTGTTTGTTTTTATTGAATTTATATACCGTCTTGTATCTGGGGGTCTCAGGGCGGTTCACAGAATAAAATCAAGACATAAAACCACAAAATACACAATACAGTGGTACCTCGGGTTAAGAACTTAATTCGTTCTGGAGGTCCGTTCTTAACCTGAAACTGTTCTTAACCTGAAGCACCACTTTAGCTAATGGGGCCTCCTGCTGCTGCTGCGCCGCCAGAGCACAATTTCTGTTCTCATCCTGAAGCAAAGTTCTTAACCCGAGGTACTATTTCTGGGTTAGCGGAGTCTGTAACCTGAAGCGTATGTAACCTGAAGCGTATGTAACCCGAGGTACCATTGTAAAAATAAAAACAACAACCCAATTGCCTGTCCCCCCCCCCAAAAAAAACAAAACACATTTTAAAAGGGCATAGGATGTAAATCAAATCAACCAAAGGCCTGGTTAAAAAGGAACGTTTTTGTCTGGCGCTTAAAGGTGAAGGCGCCAGGCGAACGTCCCTGGGGAGAGTATTCCACAGATGGGGAGGCACTGCAGAGAAGGCCTGTTCTCGTGTTGCCACCCTCTGGACCTCTCAAGGAGGAGGCACTTGAAGAGGGGCCTCAGAAAGTGATCTCAGGGTCCAGATGGGTTCATAGGGGAAGAGGTGATCCTTGAGGTATTGCGGTCTTGAGCCCTTTATAGGTCAAAACCAGCACCTTGAATTGGGCCTGGAAACTAACTGGTAGCCAATGCAGTCGGACCAGGATTGGGGTAATATGCTCAAACCGTCTTGCTCCGGTGAGCAACCTGGCCACTGAATTCTGCACCAGCTGAAGTTTCTGAATCTTCAGAGGCAACTCTATGTATAACGCATTGCAGTAATCTAACCTTGAGGTTACCAGAACATAGACGTTAGGCTATCGCTGACCAGATAGGGGCATCCGAAGCTGATGGAAGGCACCCTGAGCCACTGCCCATTGGCTTTGCCCATTCTTCAGCTCACATGCCTCACCAGCTCTTTTCCTGCACTATCCTTGATGCGGCCATGTGTCCTATAATTCTGATAATACGTGGTTAGAGGTGTGTATACAGTGGTACCTTGGATTAAGTACTTAATTCGTCATGGAGGTCTGTTCTTAACCTGAAACTGTTCTTAACCTGAGGTACCACTTTAGCTAATGGGGCCTCCCGCTGCTCCGCCGCACAATTTCTGTTCTCATCCTGAAGCAAAGTTCTTAACCCGAGGTACTATTTCTGGGTTAGCGGAGTCTGTAACCTGAAGCATCTGTAACCTGAAGTGTCTGTAATCTGAGGTACCACTGTGTAAAGGTAAAGGGAACCCTGACCATTAGGTCCAGTCGTGGCCGACTTGGGGTTGCGGCGCTCATCTCGCTTTATTGGCCGAGGGAGCCGGCGTACAGCTTCCGGGTCATGTGGCCAGCATGACTAAGCCGCTTCTGGCGAAACCAGAGCAGCGCACAGAAACGCCGTTTACCTTCCCGCCGGAGTGGTATCTATTGATCTACTTGCACTTTGACATGCTTTTGAACTGCTAGGTTGGCAGGAGCAGGGACCGAACAACGGGAGCTCACCCCGTCACGGGGATTCGAACCACTGACCTTCTGATCGGCAAGTCCTAGGCTCTGTGGTTTAACCCACAGCGCCACCCGCGTCCCTATACCATTGTATAGATGGCAATTTTTGTGGCTGGAATATAGCTCCTCTCTCTTTTTCTGCTGGCCACGGCCACCTCTTGCCATGGCTATTGGAAGGTTGTCCACAAAAGGAATGTGCTGAAAAAGTTTCTCTGCCCCTACTTATAGGAAATGGGCAGCGCTAACAGAAGACTCTTGATCCTTGTACAGGTTGAAAGTCTGTACAAGACTGATGGTGTGAAGCAGTCAGGCCCTCGGCACGAATAGCTGTCTGACAAACAGGTCAGAAGGATGGTTATTGATCGCAGTGGTAAAATAACACTGGGTGGCTGTCTTAATGCTTGCTGGAAACTGTTCCAGAAGCACTTACAGAACACTTAAGCACAACACCTCTCTCTACACACACACACACACACACACACACACCAAAAAATCTGAAATGAAAAATGCACAAAATAATTTTATGTGTTAGGCAGCAAGGTAGATTTTTCGAAGTTACGTACTATTCCTGGTACAGTCTAGCTAGTTGCTGGAAATTTTCTAGGAATGTTCCAGTAGATGCTTATTTCTGTGTTCAACATGTTTCGGAGAGAATTTACAGCAAATGGTACAGTATTTAATATGCAGAGTGTATTGTTTGTGAGACTGATAAATGGGAATGAAAAATGCTCTCTGTGGATAGAAGAAACTGCTCTGACTCATTGAGATAGTGTGAGGCTATTAATCTAAATATACAACACACAAACAACTTGTTCTTTGAAGGCGTCATAACTTGTTGCCTAATGCACCATTTGTTTCTTAATTCCCTTCTCTCTTATTTCTGCAGGGTGAAGCCTCACTTGAAAAAGTGCTTTGAAGGAATTGCTAGTGTGGAGTTTACCGAAGTCTTGGATATCACGCACATGAAAAGCAGCGAAGGAGAAGTCATAGCCCTCATTAACACAATATCAACAGCTAAAGCTAGAGGTCAAGTGGAAAAATGGCTAGTTGAACTGGAAGCAGCGATGGTCAACTCCATCCACAAGGTAACATATATCCCATTTGGGTAAACGCCAAACAAATAGATAAAGCTAAACTACAATAAGGGCAGGGATTAACATTCCAGCTTAACCAAGTGAAGGGAGATGTATACATTTAATAAATAAAAACAATAAAAGCAAAAAAGGAGTGTTAACTCGCGTTAAATACACTAGTCAGATTAAATCAAATAAACAAGAAATATTCGGTGTTATGTTGGAGGGGATGCCAGGAAATAGGGAATTATGTTCACATGTGGTGGGGGTGTAAATATGTACAATTTGGGGGGCAAAGGGTGTTTAAAGAGATAACAGAAATCACCAGGGTTAAAACTGACTGAAAGTCCAGAGGTAGCATTCTTATCAAGTTACGATGGGGGTGGAAGGTTTGCAGACTAGGAAGGACTTGCTCACAAATTTATTGACAGCTGCACGAATTATTATAGCTAGGAAGTGGAAGGGGCAAGCAGAATACAAAATGGAAGAATGGTATAAAGAGGTGTGGGATATAGCTATTAATGATAAATTAACATGTGCCATTAAAGTAAGATGGGGAATATGCAGGAGAAATGACTTTGAGGAGATATGGGGGGTGTTTGTAGAATTTGTACTGTTAAAATGGAAAGGGGTCAAACCATTGCAAGAGGTGTTGAAATTTTGGGAGGTTGGATAGTTACAATGGAATGGTCTCGGGGGTGGGGTGCACATTTTTATTTTTATTTGTTTATGTTTATTACTTTGTAAAAAAAAAAAAAACATTCAACAGACTGAATAACCCCTGATCTTAACCAGGGGTTCATCTCTTTCATCTATAGCAGCTCACTCATTCCCTCTCTGTCTCTCACACAAAAGAGGCCTCTACTCTGTGGCTGTGGAGCATCTTGAAATCTTTCACCAACTCCTCAATCCCTCTGCGCTCTCATCCTGAGCGGTGTGAATCTTTGCCCACAAACACCTACAGCAGAAACATCCCTCATTTTTATAGTAGCAACGGAGCAAAAACAAACAAACACAGAAGGGAAAGAAAGTAGAACTAAACCATGGCTGGTGTTTCTGCCCTTTTCCTGGTCCTGACACGCTCCCCACAAGTAGGGCCATGCAATATCTAGTTTTCAATATCGTGATACAGTGATACCTCGAGTTAAGAACTTAATTCGTTCTGGAGGTCTGTTCTTAACCTGAAGCACCACTTTAGCTAATGGGGCCTCCTGCTGCCGCCGGGGCACGATTTTTGTTCTCATCCTGAAGAAAAGTTCTTAACCCGAGGTAATATTTCTGGGTTAGTGAAGTCTGTAACCTGAAGCGTATGTAACCTGAAGCGTATGTAACCTGAAGTACCACTGTATATCACCAGCTGAACACTGTGATATACTGATACAGTCACACCTTAGTTTTCGAACAGCCTAGTTCTCGAATATTTTGGCTCCCAAACGATCGAAACTCGGAAGTGAGTGTTCTGGTTTCTGAACGTTCTTTTGGAAGCCGAACGTCCAACGGGGCTTCCGCGGCTTCCGATTGGCTGCTGCAGCTTTGGTTTCCGAACGTTTTGGAAGTCGAATGGACTTCCGGGAACAGATTAAGTTCGAGAACCAAGGTACCATTGTATGTCTTTTGCTTGTCATAGAGTCATAGAATTGTAGAGTTGGAAGAGACCACGAGGGTCATTCAGTCCAACTCCCTTTTGCCCAAATGTTTTTCTGGAATCTTAGATCACAAATATTACAGACTGGTAATGGTGAACCCGTTCTGCTAGCAGAGGGGCTGAGTTCTGCCTGATATTGGGGGAGGGGACTCGTTGTGTGTGTGTGTGACATCACTTGTGCGACACACATGTGTGACGCCACGCACGTCGGGAGGAGTCTGTGTACCCTGCTGCTACCGCAGGGAGACCTGGCAGGACCCCTCAAGATGGGGGGGGGCGTGCTCAGCCCCATCTCTACATACTTGGGGGGGCTGAGATGTCCGCAGCCCCATAGAGTTGGTGCCTATGTCTGCTAATTATCTGGCCCAATAGCAGCAGCTGTTTTAAGTTTTTGAAAATGTGTACATGCGTGTGAATTGGACTGCTGCACTCAGAGAGGGCCTGATCCGCACTGGAGGCTGTTGGTGTGGTGTAGCAGAGGACTCAAGGAGCCCCTATGTTATGCTGGCTCAAGGCCTCTGTGGGCAATCAGGGATCCATAAACAGAGACTTCAGGAGGCCTCTTGGAAGAAATACACAGTGCAAAATTTGCTCTTTCCATTAAAGGAGAAGGGGAAGTTGTTCAGTCTGAATCAAGGCATCCTGCTAGTATGTGATAATCAGAGCACAAGTGGTGTGGCTCCCCCTGACAAATTTACAGCCCAGTAGAATGAATGAATTTATTAATACGATCACAGACCAGCGTCAACACACACAATATCACAGATCATAAAAAATATCAGAAATACAAGGGACAATATGAATATAGCAAGGATTTAAATATAAAAATTAAAATTAATTGTTAGCATGCCCCCTGTAATTAGCAATTAGGGGTTTATGCATTATGGGATACCACTTGCTTCTTGCGATTGATTGCAGACGCACAGAATTTAGCTACATTTAGTGTAGTCTTGGGATTCTTGTCCTCTAGCAGTAGTTTTAAACTATGGTATTCCGATTCTTTCCTGGACTTTTGCAAAACAGGTGTAATAAAAGTCAAACGTATATCCTCATAAAGACAACGTAATAGAACATGTGAAGCAGTTTCAACTTCCAACGAGCCACAAGGACAGACCCGTGCTGTGTATGGTTTACCCTCAAATCTGCCCTGAAGTAAGGCAGAGGGGAGAACGTTAAATCTGGCGAGAGTAAAAGACCGTCTGTATTTGGGTACCTGAAGACCTGACAGATAGTTAGCTGGAGAGAAACCTCTCCCCTGGTCCCTTATTGCTGGATGTTTGACCATTTCGCTCATGTGGCATTGTAATTCTACGTCCCAGATACGCAGCCCAGTAGTATTTCCCATGGATTGGTTAACAGTGAAGGAAAAAACAAAACAAAAACTACAGTGCTAACAAAGTTTTATTGGAGCCGCAGCAAGAATAGCAAATGAAAGACAATTTCTGTGGGGTTTGCTGACAGCGTGCCACAGGATGAATACAGCCTGATTAAAAATGGTCAATTGGCAGCTTTCTTTTCCGAATCCGTTTTTGATGAAGCTCACTTCATTTGCTCTCTTGGTCTGTTTTCGGCATCTTTCGTGCCTTCCTTTCCTGTTGTAGTTTTTTATAAGGCACTTTACTCCAATTCTCGTGGCTCAATGCTTAGACTGAAAAGCGCCCTTGAACGTGCTAATCTTTAAACACGTGATTGCACTCCTTTTGTGTACAATCAAGGCTAGAACAGGCTTCCAAACAATCCTTCCAGTGTACTTAGAGGTGGAAGTTGATTTGTTCCTCTCAGAGTGAAGGGAGAGCAATCTTCTTAAATTCAGGTGCTCAGAACCATGGGCAAGCTGCAAAGGGACGCCATGTTTGCATTTTGTAGGACGTTGATCTGGTTCAGATGCTTGCTTGAGCTGAAGGGAGGAATGATGCAATTTAGGCATTATGGAGTGCCAAGGTAATAACCCTGTGTGGCAGAGATTAGGCTGCGAGAATTTTAGCACTGCTTTCTTCCCTGTAGTTGTAAATCTGGGCTTTCCTTTCATATCCACTTGGTTTTTCTCTGACACGTTTCCTTACCTCCAGGTGATTGGTTATGCGATAGAAGCCTACCCAAAATCTCTCCGTATAAACTGGGTAAGGGATTGGCCTGGACAAACAGTTCTGTGTGTATCTCAGACTTTCTGGACCTTGGAGGTCCAAACAGCTATTAAAAATGGCCAGCAGGTAAGCATATATTTTTAACCACATCATCTGGGAAAATGGGGCTCACCAGTCTGGGAAGGTAGCTTGTCTAGGAGAAGGAAAACTCCACTGCCTTGTGGGAAATAAGGATGCAGGAGAAATTCGCTTTGACTCGTACTTTAATGCAAGCCTACCTAATTCACACTACCTAGGACAAGGGTCTGCAACCTGCGGCCCCGGAGCCGCATGTGGCTCTTTTACACCTTTGCCGCGGCTCCGGGGCGGATACTAGCGAGGGGAGGAGGCGCATTGTGCGCCCCGACACTCCCCACTGTGGCAGGCGCTGTACTGGCTGTGACGTCGCATGGGGGCGGTGCATGCGTTAGTCACGCACTGTCCCGATGTCACCTTCCCGCCCGCCCGCTACATTGTAAGGGGCATGTACGCTGGTCACTGCATTGAAAGGGGGCATGTACGCTGGTCACTGTTTTGAAGGGGAGTGAAGAACACACACACACAAAAAGGTAACTTGTTAATTTAACGTTTATTTCTATGAGGAGGAGTAATTCTGAGGGGTCAAACAAAGAAATAATAAAAAAGTGACAAAAAGTTATTTTTATAATGACGAGTTTTGCGGCTCCCAGTTTTTTTTCCTTTGGAAACGGGTCCAAGTGGCTCTTTTTGTCTTAAAGGTTGCAGACCCCTGACCTAGGACAATACAGGAACTGAAAAGCAGTTCTCCCCCAAAATCCGCACTTCTCTGAATGTTAGAATGCAGCTCTTCTACCAAATAATGCTTACAGAAATGTGTAAATTAGGGGGACGCGTTCATAATAATTCAGCAGATAAGATACAAAATGCATTATGTTATGGGAAATTGCTTGCAAAGATGTGTATATCATTAGTCAAAATTTCATCTATAAAATTTATATTAGGAGAAACGTGATTAAAATTCCGATGAATTTTTGTGCAACGCCTCCCCCCTCTCTTTCAAACAAAAATAATAATGCCAAAATGTGGTAAAAAAAGAAAAAAGAAAAACCAAGAGAAATCCCCAGTGATCGATTTGTCTATTTCAGTACCAACAAAGCTGGCTCTCTCATTCCCAAACTGTTTTTACAGTAGCATGCAAATATGCAGTACTCAGTGGCGTAGCGTGGGTTGTCAGCACCCGGGGCAAGGCAGTGAGAGAGAGAGAGTGAGCCAGGTAGGGGCAGAGAGCTGCGAGTGCGAGCGCCCCCCCCCCCCCGATGTTGTGCCCGGTGTGGCCGGCCCTCCCTGCACCCCCCATGTTACGCCACTGGCAGTACTTCATTTTAAAAACTGCATCACCCTGAGATTGCGTTATGGATACAAAGCTCTGCCATTATCCTTCCCCCCCCCCACCATAAGGAAGATGTTTGAACCTGGGGGATAATAGAATTGTACAGTTGGAAGGGACCACAAGGATGATCTAGTCCAGCTTCCTAGGATGTTTTGAAGTTGTTTTATACTTCAAGCACAAGGGGTTGAATCTCAGGGCCCTTGAATGGAGTTCTCTTAATGCAAAGGGGGCACTCCTGGCACCTGCAAAACAGAAGAGAGTGTGTGATTTTCTCCCTTGCACACCCTGCAAATAACTACTACTACTACTACTACTACTACTACGGGGTTCCCTTGCAAGTTGGGGGGGCGCTATAGGTGCCCGCCGAGTCCCACGGTCACGGGCTTCACCCGCCTGTGATTTTCGATAGGGTCCCCGCTTCGCCGTAGCGGCAAGACCCGATTTCCGCGGAGCTTCTCCCTCCAGACTAGAGGGAATCCGCCATTGCCGATGGCGCCGCCTCCGGAAGTCCCTACTACGTTACTTATACCTCACCCATCTGGCCAGGCCTCCCCAGCCACTCTGGGCGGCTCCCAACAGAATATTAAAAACACGATAAAACATCAGACATTAAAAACTTCCCTAAACAGGGCTGCCTGGAAAGTCATATGTTTATTTCCTTGACATCTGATGGGAGGGCATTCCACAGGGCAAGTGCCACTGCTGAGAAGGCCTTCTGCCTGGTTCCCTGTAACCTCACTTCACACAGGAAGGGAACCGCCAGAAGGCCCTTGGAGCTGAACAATGGGGTTGGAGATGCTCCTTCCGGTATACCAGACTGAGGTTGTTTTAGGGCTTTAAAGGTCAGCAGCAACACTTTGAATTGTGCTCGGAAATGTACTGAGAACCAATGTAGGTCTTTCAGGACCGGTGTTATATAGCCCCAGCGTACACTCCCAGTCACCAGTCTAGATGCCGCATCCTGGATTAATTGAAGTTTCCGGGTCACCTTCAAAGGTAGCCCCACATAGAGCGCATTGTAGTAGTTCAAGCGGGAGATAACTAGAGCATGCACCACTCTGGCGAGACAGTCTGCGGGTTTTCCAGACATGAACTTGTGAAACCCCAGAAGCCAGTTTTAAAAGAAGCAGTATTGGGGGTGGGGGAGCTCTGTAAATTTCGGCTGATGTGATAATGTTTAAACATGTACCATATTTTCACGTCTATATGACACCCCCATGTATAAGACAACTCCTATTTTTTGGAGCCCCAAATTAAGAACTAAACATTTTAAACATTCCGTATAAGACGACCCCTAATTTTAAACTAAAAAAAAATTGGGGGAAAACATAGTCTTATACACAGAAAAATACGGTAATTTGTTTGCGTCTGATCCCTTCCGCCTCCCCAAACTTCTCCCAGGCACTTGAAAAGTACCTGGAACAGTGCAACGGGCAGATTGATGGCATTGTCACACTGGTGCGAGGGACGTTATCAAAGCAGAATCGAGTAACTCTCGGCGCACTCGTCGTGCTCGATGTTCATGCTCGGGATGTTCTGGCAACTCTAGTAAGCAAACATGTCAATGACGAGACCGACTTCGAATGGCTGAGCCAGCTTAGGTACTACTGGGAGGTAAGTGAAGCCCTTAAATCACGTTAGGAGATGATTTCTGTTTGCAGTTTCCCAGTTTGGGCTAACATGCTGACGCAGAATGATTAATGCATGAATACGAGAATCTTTTTGCTGGCGATAAAAGATATCTCTCGCTTGTCATCCTATAGACTTAGAGTCAAGATATACATATTCATATATGTCTTGTAATTAAAATTATTTCCCCCCATCACCTTGCACACCTGGTGAATTTGCAATAGGTGCACATATAAGTTTAGAAGTCCAGATTTTATATTCCTATTTTTGAAAGGGGGCAAAAAAAAGGAGTAGCGTATATACTTTTGAACTGAGTGGCCTTAATCTGATTTTGTCAGAATCGTAGCGTTTTGAGCCTGCATTCATTTCCTCAGCCAAAAGCCAAGCAGATTTGAACTGGCTAAAAGCTAGCAGGACATGTATATAAGATATCCCATTTATTAGCACATGGTGCCCTATAACTGCGACTATCTCACTATAGTAATCAATCGCATTGGGTGGAATGCAATGTCCCTCTTTCCCTCTGTACAACCTGCTAGATCGAGCGATTCCCCCAATCTCCCCCCTTGTACGCCACATTGGAGCTGATGAACTAGAAAGAAACTGTGGTCTGTATGTGATTTCTCCACCCTCCCCCTGCTTATTCCATGCATTTCATGGTTGTTGTTTTCCGCATAGGAGGGGCATCTACAAACAAAGATGATCAATGCCGGTTTGCGGTATGGATATGAATATCTCGGCAATACCCCTAGGCTGGTTATTACCCCATTAACGGATAGATGCTACAGGTAAAAAACAGTTTGGGTAATATTTATTTATTCACTTACGTTTATTAATCTGCCGTTTTTCGGCCCTGGGCAGCTGAGAACAAGAATACCAACATACAGGTGAAACTCGGCAAATTAGAATGTCGTGGAAAAGTTCATTTATTTCAGTAATTCAACTTAAAAGGTGAAACTAATATATGAGATAGACTCATGACATGGCTCCCCAAATCAACACAGTCTGTGGAAACTTCACACTGGACTTCAAGCATCTGGCATTGTGTGCCTCCCCGTTCTTCCTCCAGACTCTGGGTCCTTGGTTTCCAAATGAGATGCAAAAACTGCTCTCATCAGAAAAGAGATTTGGGGAGCCACATCATCAGCTGGTCTTGGTCCACTGTGCTTGATTAAGTCCAGGGTCAACGCAGCCATCTACCAGGAGATTTTGTTGTTTTTTAAAAAAAATAATTTTTATTAATTTTCCAAACATGTAATAAAAACAAACAATAAAACAGAACAAAACATACAAACAAATAAACATGTATAATTTCATAAACTTATTTTCCTTCACCTTACTTCCCGGACTTCCCCATACCTCCCTTTTTCTGCATCCTTATTTTACCTTTTCACAGCAACTCTTCATTTAATTAATTAACTCATCTTCATTATAATTTCCTTAGACTTATGATTTACAACTGCAGTTCTCTGTTTCTTAACCCCATAACATCTCAGCACTCCTCAATGTTACAACAATTTTTAAGATATATTTTAAATTTCTTCCAATCTTCTTCCACTGTCTCACTCCCCTGGTCACGGATTCTGCCGGTCATCTCCGCCATTCCCATGTAGTCAATCACCCTTCGCTTGCCATTCTTCCAGAGTGGGTAACTGCTGCGTCTTCCAATACTTTGCCAGAAGAATCTTGCCGCTGTAGTAGCAGACATAAAAAAAGTTCTGTCCTTCCTTGGCACCAATTGGCCCACCATGCCCAGGAGAAAAGCCTCTGGTTTTTTAAGAAATGTCCATTTAAGGACCTTTTTAATTTCATTATAGATCATTTCCCAGTAGGCCTTAACCCTCGGGCAGGTCCACCAAAGGTGGTAGAAAGTACCTTCAGTCTCATTACATTTCCAACATTTATTATTGGGCAAATGATAAATTTTTGCAGTTTGAACTGGGTCATGTACCATCTGTAGATCATTTTCATTATATTTTCTCTCAAGCATTACAGGCCGTAAACTTAACACCTGTGTTCCATAACGTTCCCAATCATCAAACATAATGTCATGACCTATGTCTTGTGCCCCATTTGATCATAGCTGATTTTACTGTTTCATCTTGTGTATTCCATTTCAGCAGCAAATTATACATTCTTGACAGGTTTCTTAGTATTGGGTTCTAACATTCTGTTTCTAATTTCGACCTCTCCATCTGAAAACCTATTTTCCTGTCCTGTTTAAATACCTCGTTTATCTGAAGGTAATGCAACCAATCTCGTACTTTAGACTTTAATTTATCATAACTTTGTAATTTAACTCTTTCACCATCTTGTTCTAAAATTTCACAATATTTTGGCCATTTGGATCCATGTTAAGTTTTTTAGTCTCTTTAGCCTCCATTGGTGATAACACCTGGGAGTTTTACTTTCCAATAGATCCTTATATCTTATCCAGACATTGTTACAATGCTTTCCTAACAATATGGTTTTTAAAACCTTTATGCATTTTTACCTTGTCATCCATATATATGCATGCCAACCAATCTATTGTCATACCCTTCCAGATTCCAAAATGTCTTTATTCTCAAGAAGCAGCCATTGTTTCAACCAGCAAACGCTGCCGATTCATAGTAAAGTTTCAGGTCCGGCAGGGCAAACCCCCCCTCTGTCTTTTGCATCAGTTAAGATCTTAAAGTTTATTCTGGGCTTTTTGCCCTGCCAGACAAAGTTTGATATGTCTTTTGCACCTCTTGAAACAGTCCATCTTGTCCAAGAATCTGGAGTGCTCTGGAATAAAAACAACTATTCTAGGCAATACATCTCATTCTTGATGACAGCATTCGGCCTAACAAGGAAAGTCTCAACCTTGACCATATTTCTAGATCTTTCTTCACCTCTGTCCAACATTTGTCATAATTGTCTTTAAATAAGTTCACATTTTTAGAAGTCAAGTTCACACCCAGGTACTTCACCTTTTTTGTTATTACTAAACCTGTTTCACTCTGAAACTTCTCTTTTTCTGCCATTGTTAGATTTTTCTCCAACACTTTAGTTTTTTTCATTATAATTTTGTAATCCAGGTAATCCATTAAAGTCTCATGCAACTTCTTGAAAAATTCCGCCTTCCCTTCATTTGGTGCATATATTCCCAATATCATAATTTTTTCTCCTTGAACTTGTACTTCTATTGCCAGGTATCTTCCTTGTTCATCTTTAAATATCATTTTAGGAGTCAATTTTTCTTTTGCATAAATCACGACGCCTCTTTTTTTAACCTTGTCTGATGAGATAAATTCTTGTCCAAGTCTCTTGTTTGCAAGTAATTTCCTGTGTATCCTGGTCACATGCGTTTCTTGTAGACATATTATATCTAATTGCTCTCTCTTCAAAATATGGAAAACTTGGCGTCTTTTTCTGGGAAGGTTCAGACCATTACAATTCCAGCTGAGAAGTTGCAGAGACATTTTACTACTATGTACCTATTCCTCCAACTGCTCCAAGTTTTTGTTCCTCCTCCGATGGTGGTAAAAGTCCAAATGAAAGATTTGCAATATCTGTCGATTCTTTATCTGCTGTTGTTTCTACTACTCCTTTCTGCAAATCCTCCTGGTATCTTTCCAAAAACTGTTCTTTATCTTGGACTGTTTTTATTTTGATCTTCCTTCCTGCGTAGTTAAAAGATAATCCTTGTGGGAACTCCCACCTGAAGAGTATGTTGTTTTTCTTCAGCAGGTAAACCAAATCTTTGTAAAGGGCTCTCACCTCCAAAATGTATTTAGGGATGTCTTTGAAGATCTGGACTTGACTATTCTGGATTTCAAGAGCCTTATGGTAATGTAGATTTAGTATTTTGTCTCTTTCTTCTTTGGATCTCAATGTAATCAAGCAATCCCTAGGCTTCTTACCTTGCTTTCTGCCCAGCCGGAAGGCTGTTGTTATTTCAAGTTCTTCCTCCTGTAACTCGTCCTGCCAAAATTCCAAGATGTTCTCTGTGAGGAATTCCGCAAGATTATCTTTCTCGCTCTCTGGAACCAATCTTAATTTCAAATTTTTCTCCTTTCTCTGGAGTTCCCATAAAGACAAGGTTGCATCATGTTCATTCACCTTTTTTGTGATTGGTGCTAGCTCCTTTTTTGTCTCATCTGCAATGTCTTTTGCGCTTTGAGCAATCTTTCTTGTTTCAGAATTTTCTTGGATCAATTTATTTATAGATTCTGTATTAGAAGCTACACTTGCCGTGTTCAAGTCCAGTCTTGTTGTCAAATCATTCAATTTTTTTGAGTTCTCCGCTGACTGCTTTGTCAATGCTTCCAAAGACTGGTTTATTTTAAGCAATGCATGTGTCATTGATTCCATAGATGCGGTTGCCACTTTTTCCTGTCCAGCTGGTGTTGTGCCTTGCATCGAGCCCCTTTTCTTCTGAGCCTGCTGAATTTGTTTTGCTTTTGATCTAGTTGTTATCTCTTCTGGTTGGCCACTCATATCCTCAAGGTCAATTCTCACAGGAAAGACTTGCAAGTGGAGAATTCCACTCTTTTCCTTTCACTGTAGCAAATTCTCTTTAAATCCTCTAGAGGGAGCATTAATTGTATCCAATTGGCAAAAATCAGAAAAGCATGAGGCAGAGAACAAAGAGTTCAGAAACAAAGAGTCCAAAAGTCCACAGTTAAAGTTCTTATTACACTTTCAGTATACTCAAACGTTCAACAAAATAACTCCATTAAAGTCTCATAACTTTGTTTCAGTCAAAACCCCAACTTTGTATCCAGTTTAAATTGACAGTTCACTTTCCCGGTGCCTTACTTCGGCAGCCCGTTCTAGGGTTTTGACAGTGAAAGATCTTTTTTCTCACTTTACTTCAAGCAGGTTTACAATGTCCAATTTTCCTTCCCCCCTTCTCCTGCTTACTGGGGGGAAGTTTAAGTCAGATGTCGGGTTTTGACAGCCTAAAAGTTAGCCTTCATTTAAATGCAGCTTTGCTCTCTCGTTGCTTTGATTGCCATGCAGTCCGGGGAGGCAGACTTCCTTACTTTATGCCTTTCCCGTTTTCAGCCAAATTTCCAAAATTTAATTTAAGTGTCCCATTTTACGTCTGTCAGTCTTACTCACGGGTTTTAAGATCAAATTCCAGTTTCAGGAAGGAATCGGCGCTCTCCGTTCAATGGCGACGCGGCTTCACTCTGCGAGCTGGGTTGCGACTCTCAGCACCGCGCTCACACCCGATGCCGCTCCGGAGCCTTTAAAAAGGCTCTTTCGCAGTACCGGGGGGCGCAAAAGGTGCCCGCCGAGTCTCCTTGTTCACAGGCTTCAGCGCCTGTGATTTTAGGGGTCCCCCGCTCGCCGTAGCGGGTCAGACCCGAACTCGCGGAGCAGTCCTGCCTCAGAGCTCGAGGCAAGGACCGCCATTAAACGCTGGCGCCGACCGGAAGTCTTCTGCCATTCTTCCAGCGTGGGTAGTTCTTGTGTCTTCCAATACTTTGCTAAAAGAATCCTTGCTGCTGTAGTAGCATACATAAAAAACGTCCTATCCTTCCTTGACACCAATTGGCCTACCATGTCCAAGAGAAAAGCCTCAGGTTTCTTAGGAAAGGTCCTTTTAAGGACTTTCTTAATTTCATTATAGATCATTTCCCAAAAGGCTTTAATCTTCGGGCAGGTCCACCAAAGGTGGTAAAAGGTACCTTCAGTCTCATTACATTTCCAGCATTTATTATTGGGCAAATGATAAATTTTTGCAAGCTTGACTGGGGTCATGTACCACCTGTAAATCATTTTCAGAATATTTTCTCTTAAGGCATTACATGCCGTAA